CTGCACTTGACCAAGAAGTGCGGCACTGGCTTCCAAAAAGCCTGAGCAAAGCAAGCAAGCCCCCAAAAGGCAGCTCAGTTTCCTGAGCAAAGCAATCAGGCGGATGTCACGGTTTTTTTATCGAGAACAGAAGTACATATTTGAGGCCTCTGCTGATGCGCCAGAAGGATGCAAACCTGCACTTGACCAAGAAGTGCGGCACTGGCTTCCAAAAAGCCTGAGCAAAGCAAGCAACTCAGTTTCCTGAGCAAAGCAATCAGGCGGATGTCACGGTTTTTGTTTATCGAGAACAAAAGTACATATCATATTTGAGGCCTCTGCTGATGCGCCAGAAGGATGCAAACCTGCACTTGACCAAGAAGTGCGGCGCTGGCTTCCAAAAAGCCTGAGCAAAGCAAGCAGGCAGATATCACGGTTTTTGTTTATCGAGAACAACAGTACATATTTAAGGCTTGGCGGGGCTCTCTTGATGCGCCACACAAGGATGCAAACTTGCACTTGGCCAAGAAGTGCGGCGCTGGCTTCCAAAAAGCGGCGCAGAATCCTGAGCAAAGCAATCAGGCGGATGTATATCTGTTTATCGAGAACAAAATGGACACATGTAAGGCTCGACAAGGCTCTGCTGATGCGCCGCAAGGATGCAAACCTGCACTTGACCAAGAAGAAGGCAGCTCAGTGTCAGCCGGATGTCACGGTATTTGTTCAGCTGATGCGCCACAAGGATGCAAACCTGCGCTTGACCAAGAAGTGCGGCACTGGCTTCCAAAAAGCAGCTCAGTATCAGCCGTATTTGTCTATCAAAACCAGTCTACATATTTAAGGCTCAACAGGGCTCTGCTGATTTGCCACAAGGATGCAAACCTGCGCTTGACCAAGAAGCGCGGCACTGGCTTCCAAAAAGCAATCAGCCGGATGTCACTATATATTTGCTTTTTTATCGAGAAACATAGACATATCAAATGCTCGACAGGGCCCTGCTGGTGCGCCACAAGGATGCAAACCTACACTTGACCAAGAAGTGCGGCGCTGGCTTTTAAAAAGCAGCTCAGTTTCCTGAGCAAAGCAATCAGCCGGATGTCAAGATTTGTTTGCTTATCGAGAAAAAAAGACGTATTTAAAGCTCGACATTGCTTGCTTCTAGCACGATGCTCCACAAGGATGCAAGCCTGCGCTTGACCAAGAGGGAGGCACATGCTTTGCACACAGGCTAACCGCAAAATCTGCGACATGCCCTTTTGCGTTGCGAAACATTGTTGCAAGTGGCTCCTGCTGACTTGTCGATCTATGTTTCTAGCTTGATGCTTCTCAATTGCGCTTGCGAGCTGCTGCCACGTGAGCCGAAGGGAGCCGAAGGGAGCCGAACGCCGGTTACTGGATGCCAAGCAAGGTCAGCCTCGAAACTGGGCAAGAAGAAACTGGGAGAGCCAGCGTCACAGCGTCTGGCATCCAGACACAGGGAGAACCGGGAGACACGACCCGGAGCCAGCCTTGCAGCGTCTGGCATCTGACCGCAGAGACTGACACTGGCATCTGACCACAGAGACTGGGAGACACGACCCCGGAGCCGAGAGAGCCGGCATCACCGCGGAGACACTGGGAGACAAGCGGGAGACACGACCCCGGAGCCAGCGTCACAGCATCTGGCATCTGACCGCGGAGACTGGGAGACGGAAGACAAGCGGGAGACACGACCCCGGAGCCAGCCATCCGGAGACACAGGGAGGCAAGCGGGAGACACGACCCCAGAACAAGCGTCACAGCGTCTGGCATCTGACCGCGGAGACTGGGAGACACAGGGAGACAAGTGGGAGACACGTCACAGCATCAAGCGGGGCCAGCTGGAGAGAAACTTGTCTCACTGTGTCTCCCAGTCTCCGCGGTCAGATGACAGACGCTGTGACGCTGCGGAGTCACAGCGTCTAGCATCTGACCGCGGAGACTGGGAGACACAGCGGGAGACACGATGCCGGAGCCAGCATCACAGCATCTGAGACAAGCGGGAGACACGACCCCTGAGACAGGGAGACAAGCGGGAGACACGACCCCGGAGCCAGCGCCACAGCATCTGGCATCTGACCGGAGAGACTGGGAGACAGGAAGACAAAACAGGACCCCACAACTGGCGTCACACTTTCCCATTCTTTATACCTCAAGTTAGAACCCCAATGCTTCGCTGTTTGGGGACACCCACTGATTTGCAGCGCATTTTGTGGCAACGCAACACAACGCTTGAGGCGCCCCGATTCAGTGGGGCTGGTGTACAGCACAGGGGTTTTCTCATAACCATATGGCTGTGGGTCAAATCCCGCACCAAATCCAGTGAACACCCCAATCCCCACTATAAACTAAAATGGTGGTGCACCTACCCCAAAATGGTACCATTGGTTTTGACCCACACCCCATATGGCAGGGCCTTGTGCTTCCCGGCGACTCCGCAGGTCTCTACCAGCTTGCTCTGCTCCTTCACAGTTGCTGCGCCGCTGCTGCCCCAGAGAGATTCAAGTCGTATCCCCCAAAGCCCAAAGCCAGGGCCCATGTCTGCGAGGTTTTTTTGGTGCGGTCTGGAAAGTGTACACTACTTTCTTGTAGATGTTTTTAGATGTTTTGGTGGCTAGAATTGTAATTTCTCTCCTTGGCACACTTGTTCCGGACTAGACACACCCAGCCCGTTGTGTTTTTTGTGTTCAACCGGCTTCCAGGTGGACGCTGTGCTGACCATGTTGCAGTCCGCGACGGAGCCGGGGCCCCACTCTGTGGGCCGTATGCGGACCTGTGCCAACGACGCGAAAGGGTTTTGCAGGGCTCCGATTTGGATCCATTTCAGGACTCCCGTCTTGACCTACAACATGCACCCCCCCTCAGTTGCTTGATTTGTGGCTGGCAGTGTCATGGCAGTGTCTGCAAGGAAACTCTTTGGGAGTGACGTCACATCCTGCTTTGCTGCTTTTCTTTGATGCCTTGGCTCATTGACACCAAAGGATTGCGAACGAATTGGATGGAATTGAAGAGCACAGGCTCAAAACTGCATGTCTGGTCCCTCTTCCTTTCTTCCTTTAAGTGCTAGGCTAGACCCACCAGCCGCTTTTTTATTCTCCAACCCATTCATTCCACGTCCGACCACGATATCCATGATGGCCTGGGTGACCCCTAAGGGTCCATTCTCATTATTGGAGCTGGACGGCTCGCCTATCAGGATGTGCAACTTCCTCTCAGACGTGCTTCGCGCAGTACTCAGTCGGGCGCCTCAGCCTGCTACCGGTGTTTGCTCTGGGGGGGATCTGTTTATTTGAATCAACACACGACTTGGCAGTCAGTGTGTGTGTGTGTGTGTGTTGTTTTAATTGGCTGGAATTGGATTTGTCTGTTTTCTCTTTGTTTCTTTCTGCCCGGCGACCCAAGATTCCCGCGCTGACACAAGATGAGTAAGCCCCCCATGCAAAAATAGCCTTTCCAAACCGCCTCCAGCAACAAGCCGCACCACGAGCCCAGCCAAACACATTGTCACGGTTTTGCTGGGTCCGCGTGCGCGCGCGCCCACACTGTAATGTCGCCCAACATCCGCGGGCAGCAACTTGGAAGGACCATAGGTGTCCTTTTTGGTTGACTTGGTTGAAAAGTAGAGGGCGATTCCTGGTCACCTGGTGGTTCAATCAACCACCAGGGCCATCGATTTTTCCAAAAAGGACACCTATGGTAAGGGCGCGTTGGGAAATGGATGCACCGTGTCCAGGTAGCGAAGAGGCGCCGCCCCGGACCAAGGCGCTCTTGCGCCCGAGCTCAGTTCCACACAATGGGTGCGTTTCTGCGGGTTTGGCACGGTGAACAGAGGATGCCCAGGACTGCATGTGGGGCACTGGAGCTATGCGAATTGGGCCATTCAAAGACTCAAGCTTTGCCCGAAGCTTTGGTATAATGAAGCACTGCTCGCGTATCCGTGATCTTGGTCTTTCGGAGCATGGTGTCATGCCGCGCTGCTCGCCAGGGGCTCTTCCTGGAAGCGATCCCACCGCTGCTGCTGAAGGCCGAGGCTGGTGCCGCATGGACAACAGCAACGACGCACCCGGCCACGGGTCAAAATTCCGCCGGGCTGGCATCCCACAATTCGGGCAGGTAAATTTTGATATATCGTTGCTCAACCAGTGTTTCGGCACCAACTTAATGTGGGATTGTGCCCAATAGTCAGAGACCGCCAGTACCTTAGGCCGGAAAGGTGAACAGGGTGACCGTACAGCCATCTCGCCACGTCTGTACAGGTCCGCTCGCTGGCGGGGGGGGAGCGCCTTCCCGGCGCCTCGGCGGCGGAAGCGGCGGTGCGGGACATGGTGACCACCTACTTCCCGCTGAACTCCCGAGAGTACCAGCGCTCCGCGGACGAGTACTCCACCTACTTGGTGCTGCTGGAAGGCGTGAGATGGAAGGGAGACCAAAAGATGAAAATCCTTCCTCTTTTGTTTTTTCTTGGCATTTGGATCGAAGATGCGGATGGTATTTCAGTGACATTTGAGTGACCATGACCTACACAATGATCAATGGACTCCGAAAATGCGTGATTCCTTTACTTGCAGCATGATTTGTTCCAATCAGCTAGGCGGATTTCATGTTGATGCAAGCCTCATGGAATGCTGCGCACGGCCACTTCGAACGATTCGCGCCACACAAATTTGGGTTCCGGGGCGAAAACCATTGTTTGTTGGTGTTTGCAGGGGGGATCATATCATTCCAGGGTTTCTGAACGGGTGGCGCAGTGCGAAATGGTTTTCGTAACCCCCCACAGCTATGGTGCACTTGAATGGAGAATGTTGGGCTTGTCTTTTTTGGAGGGACCGCCCTTTTGGTGTTGAATGGACAGAGGAAACCGAAGCCATGGGAGCGACAGACATGGCTGCCATGGCTCGCGACGCAGGTCTCTTCCACGCGCTGGAGAGGAGCGCGCCTTCCATGCGGCTCTTGCCTGCCTTGCACAGCACGCTGCGCGTCCAGGACCATAGGGAGGCGCCTTCGCGGTCAGCGATGGGGATGGCCATGTCTTTGGGGTGTTTTTTCGTTGGCTTGGTGGGGTTTAAGGGGCCTCCAATAGGACAACCACTATTTTTGAGGGGTAGACACACCCATATAGGTATGTCTCAAAAGTGTTTGAAGGGATTGCGGAAAATGGTTGGTTTCGTGTTGGTGTCCCCCGGAAAAGGTAACGAACGATCCAAAGACAAGCGAGCAAACAACCAAACAAACAAGCAATCCACCAAAGAGCAAGCCAAGCAAGCAACCAACCAACAAAAAGAGCAACAACTCAAGCAACGTGAAAGTGCCTTGGCAGTCCATGCGGCTCCGGGAGTTTGCGAAGCGCTTTGTGCGGCATGTGCTGGGCGCAGACCGGCCGAAGACGCAGGCATGGCCCGGCGGGCAATGGCAGAAAAGCGGGCTTCGCCAGAGCGCATTGTAGAATGTTAAACAATTGTTGAAGGTGTGTATTGAGCTATTCAATATTTGTTTGACAATGCGTAAAGATTTATTGAGTCAAGTCAATGTGCGTATTACATATCACAATAAGTCGAGAAATGTGCGTAATGTTGGGCAAAGTCCTGAGAGCGTTGCATAAGGAATTTCCCAGTTAATGATAGAGGAGCATGCGTTGGTGTCGAGGGCCGTATCCCAGCAATGCTGACCTGTAGTCGAAACAGTCAACGACCTGGACAAGTGGAACAACACACTTCCATTGGGGCTAGTCCAAATGTGTCTGTTTGGGCAATCAAAGAACACAGCCAGACGTTGTAGACGATACGTCTTGGCGATCAAGTGACTAATTGCCCAATCTTTTTATAGACACCTGAATTGAATTCATTTGCACTGCAGTTGGTTTTGGTTTGCATAAACAACGTTCCTGAGTTTTTTGGCGGTTCGCACGTGGGAGAGTCAAACTCTGCGCAGAAAGACGAGTAAATCTGTATGAATCGGAATCAACCGAGAGCCTGAAACAGGCTGCATGGGGGGAACGTCTTTCGCGTTTTTTAGGCGCTGGCAACCTTCGGCGCCCTGCTCCACGTGTTTTTGGACGAGACCTTGGACGACAGGCTCTCAGACAACACCCGCTTCGCGGTGATGGAGAAGCTGGCGCTGCCGCTGCTGTGGGAGCTCGCGGCCTCTACGAACTGCAAGGCCAGAGGGGTCCCAGAGCTCGGGTCTGGCGCGCGCTGGGTCGGATGGGTTTGGCAGTGCGGAGGTGTGCCAATTGGGGTGGCCCCCCCACGGGCGAAATCTGAGCAGTTGAGGGGAAACGTGCATTGATCCCACAATGGTTGTCCCTTGTGCTATGATTGGCAGCTCGGGCCAAATTAGTTACAGCCTTTTCTTGAATTCTGAATGCAAGAAGCAGATGCCAACATGAAACAGGTCCCAACACGAGCCGTGTTCCTCATCTCCCATTGGCTAGGCTTCGTAGTTTCATTTTGTTTTGCCGGGGCAGGCGAGCAACAATCAAAATCCGGGTTTGCCGGGTGGAGCCGATCTCATTGCAAGGTTTTGGGTAGGCTTCTTTAACACCAGGTTTTGATTGTGACTCGGGCTTGGAGACATCCCAGGAGTCGCTCACTGTCACTGGAGCCTTGTACCGATGTCGCTTGTAATTCAAAACGCCTGACGCCTGCCTCGGCCAGCTGTTTGATTTAGGGTGGGGAAGCTGGGCAGCTGGCAAGAAACTTTCATGCCTGGCCACGCGTGAAGTATCAGCTGCGTGAAAGTATGCGCTTGGCACTCGAGGACAGCCACAGCCGTAGCTACATCCATGGTCAAAAAAAACAAGGGCAAGCGGCTGAAGCCCGCGCACATCCAAGGCCAGGCGCGTGGAAGCGCTGGCTAGGCGAAGCTCTGCTGTCTGGCGGCTAGTAGGGCTGGGCTTGGCCTTTAGAATCCGGGTGCGGCACTGGCGTTCAGCGCGGCCGGCTACTGGGGCTGGCAGGTGAAGCCAGGAACTGTGGGGCTGGAGGCAGCTGGATGTGTCTATGGCTGAGAGAGGCGGGCGAGTTTTTTCGCGCCGGGTCCTGCCACTCTCAGTCTGTCTGAGATGATTGAATCCAAATGGAACGGCCAACTCAAAACTGACAAACGAACCAACGCTTAGCCTTGCAGGCTCAATGATCTCGAGCCAAACTGAATATAATTACACTCGGAGTCGAGAATCAATGTCTGAGTCACCCCTGATCCCATCTGGGCCGTGGCGCTGCGCCATCAGCGCATCTTTGTCTTGACTCATTTTGAGGTGAGTTTGCCGGTGCTAGTCTTCTTTTTGCCCCAGGTCTCCCGTGCTGTGAAGGGGTTTGGGAAGATCCTGATCTAAAGCGGGAGTTGACCGCTTCCGGGCTTTGGGGGGCGAACTTGGGTGGGGCAGCCAGATGCCTTCACTATGAAGTGGTGGACGAGGGAACCCAGTTCGTGTCCATTCGTGCTGGGCAGCTTGTTTTGGCCGTTTCCGGGTTTTGGCGGACCTACTGCTCTAAAAGGTAGCTGTAGGCGCCCGCAAAGACCAGATCTCCTTTGAATCGTACAGGCCTTGTTCGCGTGCAGTTTTAGAAAGCCAAAGGCTGGAAGGAAGGTTCGGACGCCCCAAATTTATCTTGGAACTCATTTCAACATCGCCCCTTTCAGGGTTGCAGGGAAAAGGGACGCCCCCGAGTTTGAGACCAACCCACACACAGACCGGGGACCTTTGGTGAGGACTGCTGGGTGGACTTTTGGCCGCTCCTGCTGCAGCGGGCCGATCCCGACGTCAGCTTCGCCAATCTTCGGATGAGGGATGTGCAAGCGTTGAACCTCAAGGCACTTGGAGGGAGAGGCGCAGGTAGGTGATAGGTAAAATTGGAAAACACCGCCAAAAGGCTAAATGGGTAGTTTTGGGTTCAAGTCTACCTTGTCATGGTCAACAAATGGAAACCTGGATGCCGTATGACTACTCCGTGAGAACGCATGCGAATTAGTTGTGCCGAAAGCTGGCTGACAGGTGCAGGAGATGGCGTGCATCTACGGTATGATCGAGATTCTGTTTGTGCGCACCTCCGGGGAAGTGCTAAAGGAGCAGATCGTGCCTGCCTTGGGCAGCAGCCCCTCCAGGGATATCATCCTCATTGCCGCTTGTCAAGGCACTTTCTGCTTTCTGGATTTCACATACCCGCGGGACCAACATACTTGTTATTGTCCAATTGACCAGCCAGCAGCCACAATTTGTATCTGTGTAGCACATGTTCACACGCATACCGTAGGTGCACAGAGATTCACAGATACTTATATCATATGTAAATGTATGTATGTCTTCATGCAAATAGATGCGAGTACATCCATTTTACAAGCACATATATATATATATATGTATAGCACACGTTTAGCATGTATATATATATTGCATACCACAAGATGCATACATACACACATGCATACGTAACAAAACCTAACCTAACATAACATAACATAACACGCACACACACACGCATACATATACACACATACACATACATACAGACATACAGACATACAGACATACAGCCACACAGACATAGACGTACAGACGTACAGGCGCACAGACAGAGAGACAGACAGACAGAATTGCAGACAGACAGACAGGCAGACATACAGACACAGAGACAGACAACCACGCAGACACATATACGCACACATGCGCACATACATACATACAAAGATACAGACAGACATACAGACAGACATACAGACATACAGACAGACATACAGACAGACATACAGACAGACATACAGACAGACATACAGACAGACGTACAGACGCACACAGACGCACACAGACGCACACAGACGCACACAGATGCACACAGACGCACACAGACGCACACAGACGCACACAGACGCACACAGACGCACACAGACGCACACAGACGCACACAGACGCACACAGACGCACACAGACGCACACAGACGCACACCCACCCACCCACCCACCCACCCACCCACCACCCACCCACCCACACCCACACCCACACCCACACCCACACCCACACCCACACCCGCACCCGCACCCGCACCGCACCCACCCACCCGCACCCGCACCCGCACCGCACCCGCACCCACACCCACACCCACACCACACCCACACCCACACCACACACACCACACCCACACCCACGCACACCACACACCCACACCCACACACCCACACACACCCCACACCCACACACCCACACACCACACACACACCCACCCACGCACGCACGCACGCACGCAACACTACACTACACTACACTACACTACACTACACTACACTACACTACACTACACTACACTACAGCACAGCACAGCACAGCACAGCACAGCACAGCACAGCACAGCACAGCGCAGCGCAGCACAGCACAGCACAGCACAGCACAGCACAGCACAGCACAGCACAGCACAGCACAGCACAGCACAGCAGCACAGCACAGCACAGCACAGCACAGCACAGCACAGCACAGCACAGCACAGCACAGCACAGCACAGCACAGCACAGCACAGCACAGCACAGCACAGCACAGCACAGCACAGCACAGCACAGTACAGTACAGTACAGTACAGTACAGTACAGTACAGTACAGTACAGTACAGTACAGCACAGCACAGCACAGCACAGCACAGTACAGTACAGTACAGTACAGACCTACATACCTACACGCCTACTTGCCTGGAAACATGGATTCACTCGTACCTACATACCTGCCTACATCCAGACATCCATATAGCCATAGATCCATACGTGCATAGTTGCATAACTGCATACGTGCATACATGTGTGCGTGCGTTCATGCACACATGCACACATGCGTACATGCACACACACATTCACACACACAGGCACATACATACATACATACATACATACATACATACATACATACATACATACATACATACATACATACATACATACATGTAGACAGATAGGATGGATAGATGGATAAATAGATGGATAGATCTATTTTCTAGATATATTGATAGGAAGGCAGGCCGGTAGGTAGGTAGACAGGTAGGTAGGTGACAGAAAGATATATATATATATGTATACATATATATATATATACAGATAGGTACGCAGGTAGTTAGTGAGATAGAGAGATAGGGAGATAGGGGGTAGGTGGGTAGGTAGATAGATTGTTAGATAGATAGATAGATAGACAGATAGACTTGTGACATAGGCCAAGCGCGCCTTGCGGAAGCCCACTGGCTGGGAGCGTGTGGACCTGGGCACCTTGCGGCGCTGCCAGCTGCGGATCTATGCGGCGCTGTCGGCGGTGGTCTGCGCCACGCAGACCAAGCAGGACACGCGAGCGAGCACGGGTGAAAATCGACGTGTCGGGTGCGAGAGGTAGGAGATGTGGGAATGAAGGGATCATCTTAAAGGAAACTAGTTGGATGGTTTACAGGGAAGGTAGGGAATGTAATTCCCTTTGGGCTGTTGGGCTGTTCTGTTGGACTGTTGGGCTGGCTGTTTGGGTTGTTGGGCTGTTGCTGGTGGGCTGTCAGGCTGTAAAGGAAGCCACCAGTTGGATGGTTTACAGGGGTCATTTCCTCATGCCCTGCTGAGCACCAGCAAGAAAAACGACGCTGTTTTGGTCGTTGGCTTTTGTATGGTTTTTATGGGGACTGGGTATGTGCCGAAGGGGGGGGAACCTCCAAAATGATTGTCCTTTTGGGTGTCCTGTGAAACCAACCTGAAACAGAATGTTCCAATATTGATTCAGAGCCAGAGGAGGCATGGAAAAGATATGGCCCTTCATGGTCCTTAATATTTTAATTTGAATAGTTTCTATGAGGCAGCAGCGGCTTCTTGGCTATGGCTCTGGGTGAAAGTACATGTCACGCTTCCACGGGTTTGGTTTAGTCATCCCCTATGCTTAACCACAAGAAGATTCTGCCATGCATCGATCCTCTTTTTCTTGGGGGAGGGTATCTTTTTCAAGCGCCCGCTGGGATTGTTCCTTCAGGGTTTCCCCCAAAGGCGCCCCACTTCGGGGTGCACAAGCCCCCCTAAGACTAGCCTCCGATTGAAGCCAGGGTTTCGACTGAAGCCTGTGTGTTGCAACCATAGCCCTGTGCTTCCAGGCAAACCACTATTGTAGGTAACCAGGGATCCTTACCTCTAGGTTTTACATCATGTTTTTTTCTGGTTACCTATGGCGAGTTTGCCTGCAAGCACTGGGTAGGTTTCCGTCCTTCGCATGTGGGCACTCGGCAGAATCTCGACAGGAGATGTACTCGGGCTGGCTGTTTGAGAAGGTGGTGTGGGACGAGACCATGCTGGAGCCCTGGGAGGCCGGATTGAAGCGAGCGACGTACGGGGTGGTTTTGGAGTTACCCGCCGTTTTGGTGCGGAAAGGAACACTGCCATTTTCGGGGGGGGGGGGCCTTTAAAACAAACATGCGGGGGAGACCAACTGAGGTGAAGAAGCCGGACCTGTCCTCTTTGACCCCAGATACCAGCTACAACTCCTTCCAGCGCCAGGGCTATTCCTTCGCTTATTTGGCGGCCGCGCTGCCCGGGCGCGGCAATGCGCGCCGAGCCGAGCAGGCGAGGGCGGAGGAGTCGACGCTGCTGGGGGCCAATCTGTGGGCGGCGACCCCGGCCTTCACGCAGGCGCGCTTGCTAACGTGGGAAGTTTTTCTGACGCATCCGGCGCGCTTAGCTTTCAGCAGCACCTCCGGGTGGCGTAGGTGGCGTAGGTTATATGGCTCACTTGACCTGTCGCGAGTGACGCGTTTTGGGCTCCGAAACGCTGACTGCCTCGCAGTCAGGCCACCCTGGGCACCGTGGGCTTCGGCGGCGAGGGCACTCAGCGCGCGCTGGGGCCCCTGGGGCGCGCGGCAGCTTCCAAGGCGAGCCAAGAGCTCACCATCATGCGCCTCGGCCGGCCGGTGGAGCGCCGTAGGATTCCGGGAGAAAGACCAGGAGTCTTCAATCCAAAGCATTCAGACAGCACGCTGAAAAGAAAGCATTCAGACTTCAGGCAGCAGGACTTCCAGCTGAGGTAAAGGGTTTCTCGATGTGCCACATTTGTTTAGGAGAGCGTAAGAGTTGAGCGGCGCTATGTCCAGCAACGACTTCGTATCAAGCTGAGTGACATTGAGCTCATCTTGGAAACGGTGAGATGCCCCCGCCATTGACGCCGGTTGAGTAAGCTGACGGCTGGGGTATGGGTGCTCCGTTTTTTCGGAAGCAAAGAACCAATATCCATTTGGCCGTGGGTCACAACCTATGCCTCCATTTTGGGGCGGATGAACACCCATGTACCACCTATTTCGATGTTCACCAGGGGTTTAACAACCACAGCCACCTTGTTTGGGGCTTCCCTTGAAAACACCCTCGGTTTCCCTTTTGGCAACCACTCTTGGCAACCACTCCCTTTTGAGCGAGGCAACTTGATCCATTGGTTTGCGGTCGGAACCCTCCGGATCGAGCAGGCTGCCAGAGAAGCAGCGCCGGAAAGTGGCCGCGGCGACCAGGGGCACTGCCTCGCAGGCCGGCGCAGAGGGCCGATGTGCTTGGGGAAGCTGTGGTGGGCTTGGGGATGCTTGGGGTTTGGTTTGGTTTGGGTCTTGGTTGAGACGCATGAATGATAGCTTTGCTAGGTTTGGTTTAAGTAGAACCCGCTTCTTGGGAATTGCTGGGATTGATGCGGTTGCTTACTTTTTTGCTCCAATGAGCCGCGCGCCGAGCCAGAACAGCCCAATTCTCGAAGCAAGGCCAGAATTTGAAGGAGCAGAGCTGAGCAGTGGTAGGCTTGCAAATATCCCTGCGTCTTTTGGAACAGCACCTTTTAAACATACGCAGCACCATTTACCCGCACGGCTGAAGTGTACCTGCCTGGCAAGAAGGGTGGCAAAGTACTGGCCTGCCGGCCGGCATTGCATGGTTTCGGCATGCCCGTGCACTAGCTGGCAAAGTTGCCTCAGAAATGCCTGACCCCAGGGCTTACCCAGATTTGGGATCCCCTCCAGTGAGCTTTTTTTCTTCTTCTTCTTTTGTTCTTCTTTTTTTGTAATTTGCAACCATTGGGGACATCCCAATGGCGCAAGGGGAAGGAGCAGCCCGGCGGTTTCGGTCAGGTCATGAGCCTTGTGGTCACCGGCTCCACAGATGTCTTCAGCGGGGAGGGGGTGCCACTGCCTCCGGGGGAGGAGGGGGCCGCGATGAGGCGGGGTCTCAAAAAAGCCAAGTGTCGCATTGGAGGGCGGGGTTCTTTTCTTGGATCCCTTCTCCTTTTCTGGTCTAAAAACCCCACTGGGGCTTTTGTACTTCGGGTCCCGATGGGAAGCCCGTGGCAGCGCATGGCCTCACAAGTTTTTGCCCACGGCTCCAGCGGTGTTTTTTTTAAGGGGAAGCCACAACGAAACCTACCATTTTGGGGCGGTGTCCAATCTGAAAATCAAGACACGCCCATGGCTCCAGCTGTCGAACTCGCAATAGGCTGCAAGCATTGCTGGCGGGCCGGCGGGAGGATGAGAAGGGCACCTGGCAAAGCGAATGGATGGAGCATGACGAGAAGCTCTTCCCAGAATCTGGTCTTACACCTCTTGTCAGGCTTTGGCGGTGTTGACAATATAATATATATATATATACACACACATACGTATACACATATGTGTCGTGTGTTGCGTGACTCATATTGTGCCTTGTTTCCATGGCTTCCCCCCCGCAGTCGTCCTGAATTCCTCAGGAAGGGCCATCCAACGACCACGCCATGGCGCTATTTCTGGTCCTGCTGCGCACCATGGATGTGTTGCTGGAGCGCTTTGGTCTTCACGGTTGGCTGCAGTCTCTCTTGGCCATCGCCAACAAGCCCTCCGCGGATTTCCGGCTGCGCCTCGTGCTACTACGAGTCCTTGTCCACAGGCGGGGTCTGGCAACCTGTGCCAGTGGGCGCTGGAACGCGTCAAAGTTTTGGAGGCTTTGAACTTTGACGTGCAGTCATATGCTGCAGTGACGCAGCAGGTGTCACCTTCGCACCAACTGGTACTGTATGCACCAGTGATGTCAAGTGATGCCAAACTGCATGACTAGGTTGCCCATTAACTTCACAGGGATGTTTGTCACATTGCAAGGACTAGTTGGGCGAGAATCTGACTGTTAGCAGTCAACATTGTTGCAATAGCAATCGTCTTTGCCGCGGCTTTCGTTACAAAGTCGTCGTGATGGTGGTGGTGATTGTGGTGGCGGTTGTCGTTGTCGCTCCGATCCCCGTTTCAATTAGAATTCCAGCCCTTCCCGCGTTCCCGCCCTTTCCGCAGTCCACAGTCGCCGCTTCCTTCGCTCATCCGTCAAGCAGCTTCGATGCTTTTCGACGCTCGGCCCGAGGGCGGAGGCACTGGAGCAGCTGCTGCTGGGCCGGTCCGTGGAGGTCTTCCGTTTCGTGGCCTCCGTGCTGCTGGACCCCCGCCTGTGCGCGGAGAAGCGCTTCCACTACTTGGCGCGGGACGCGGTGGGGGGACCCAGCCGGGTTTTTTTGGCCGGAAGGGCGAGCCTCTGTTTTTATGGGGAAGGGACTGGGGAGGGGAATGGGTTGGTGGTTGAAACGGCCTATTGATTAGGGAAACATAGCACGCAGTACCCAATTTAAAGGACAATAAAGACGAACTACACCTGGATGTTTGATTTGTTTGTTCCGTGCATCCGATAGGAGGGCTTTTATCGGGAGCCGGAAGGAGGGCATGGAAGTGTCTGAAACCAAACAGTTGGTGCACCCCTGTTCTGAAAGAAGCCCACGATGTGCAAAGGTTGGCTTGCAGAAAGGATGACTTTGTCAGCCACACATGCTAGCGGGTCATGCGGCGAACGCTTGAACGAAACCAGATCTGCGGACAAACGAGGACAATTGTCTTTGCGAAAGGCTGCCATTCGCAGTCCCTCATTTTCATGAGGTGCAAGAATTCATACAGTGCTTTCCCTCCGTCCCAAAAGTTCAGATGAGCAAGGGTCTCATCTACAGTTGCGAAGGGGATGACATAGAGGGTTACTCACCGAATTCCCATGTCAAAGGGAGATTACAATGAAGGCTCACCTGTCCAGTTGGTGCGGCAGAATGATACACACATGTGAGGTGTGAGCTTTGGCTCAAGCGGCCAATTTCCTGCAACAAGAGCCACTTTTTGGCCCCAGTTTCAGATTTCATACTTCCCTCAACATCTGTTTTGTGAAGAGGGTAATCCACTTGCACGTCTCGGCCGACGCGGCCGCCCCAGGTCTCCACCCTCCTGGTGCCGAAGTTGGGCCAGGAGGAAACGCAGGCGGATCCGGTAAGCTTCGGAGAGGTGTCGCCGTCGAATCGAAAAGGTTCCCCAACCCCAAAATGCATGCCCCAAAAAAGGGACACCCGTAGGTGTCCTCAGGTCAGCTTGCTTGAAGATCGAGAACTGTGAGTTTAGTTCGATAGTGCGATAGGGCCATGTGCCGCCTATTTTCCCAGGACTCCGAAAGGATGGTGATTGATTCGTTCGGGCAGCTTTGTTGCGGTGGCAAGTTGCAGGCGGCTGTCAGGATGCATTGGGCACTGCTTTGATTGCTTATGGAAGCTCATTTGGGTCAATGGTGTTTGTTCCCTCAAGAAAGACCCGCCCATTTGAGCCAAGGTTTGACTTTGTGTGCGAAGGCTTACCTCTATGTCAAAGGCCCCCGGATGCCATCTTAGCGGATTTGTTCAAGGCGAAGAGAAACCGTTGAGGTACCAAACGAACTAACCCGAGCACGTTCGCAGAACATGGCTTACTCTCTCGCCTTCGATTTCTGCAGAAAGCCGCAATCAATGGTTCAAGGGTTGCATTGCCTTTCTCGGGTTGCAGAGGTCATGCTCACTTGGGCTATCTATGGTCAACTCAGGAATTGAGAGGCACGTAAGCCGACCGCATGTCAGAGTTGGGCTGAGGCGCTGGCGCTGCCAAGGGACTGCATGGTGGATGCAGAGCGGCTGCTGCATCAGCTGCAGGTGGGGTCGGGTCAATGGTTCTAAATGTTCGAAAGAATCTCGAAGGGCCATAGGGAATCAATCTATTTGGGGGGGAGGGGGGTTCTTAATTTTTTAGGGTTGGTTTTAAAGCGAAACCAAAAGGAACCATCATTTTTGGGGGTTCAACCGAAAAAGACACATTTACAAGGGGTAGTGATTGATCTCGGCCTTACGCCTATCTCGTCCGCCAGACCACGGCTCCGCACAAGTCCACCTACTGGCAGAAGGCGCACCTGGGCATCCTCCGGCTTTTTGCTGCGCATTACCTCAGGCTTGGGCACTCGCTCGCAGCGGCACCCGCGCTCGTTTCGCTTGCTCGGTTGAGCCCGTGGGTTCAACCTATGTTGGACCATGTCTGGTCGGGCTAATGGCTGGTGTCTGGGATCATAATGTTGGACCATTCCTGGGGGTTGTCAGAAACTGGTAGAATCTGGGGCCTAGTTCGAAAGAATTCCCACTGAGAAATCGCCCCTTGGCTCTTGCAAGATTCCCACGAGTGAGTAGGTGATAGTCCTTTCGCAAAACGCCATTGGCACTGTGCCGAAGCGAGCAGACTGGTTGACCCCGAGGCTACCTTGCCAAGGTTCGCGGCCTTTGAACTCTGACGTCATAAAAGGGGCTTTTCGAGTCCTTCCGTTCTCGTGTCCGAAACACCATGACCATGCAAACACCATGGGTTCCGTTTGATTTCAAGGATCCGCTGCTCAAAACTGGGCTAGGCCGGCTCTGGTTTTGCTCAAACCTCTAGGTCAACTTTCGGCAGGCCTTGGAAACTTGTTGGCCAAAGCCAAATGTGGATGTGCAGTGTTGACATCCCAATGTCACATGCACATAGTATAAACATGTGTGCACAGCCCTATGATTGAGACCTATCTTGTTGCTGTCTTCTTTTCTTTTTTCTTTCTGGTTTTGGCGGTGGGTGGGGGTGGTGGGTGGGGGGTGGGGTGTGAGGGGGTTGGGGGTGGTGGGTCGGGGGCTGGGGGTGGGGGTGGGGGGTGGGGGGTGTCACACTTTCACTCCCCCATGAACGCGAGAACTGAGCAATCTGCCTCGTGCGTCGAGCCGAGGCCCGGCTGCCCCATTCAGCCGGACGGGAGGGCCGCGACCTCGTGGCGAAGAGAAATGGCACAGGGACCCACGTAGGCGTGACCCTTGGTGGATGTAGATGGGTGGTGGTTTTCCTGGTGGTTTTAGAGATTTGTTCTCTAAAACCACCCAAAAAGGTCTCAGAGAGGTACCATGTGGAACCAACATAGAAGTTGATGGAAGCGCATGACATTTTGAGACTGACGGGTCCCACGGGCTGGTCGCAAACCCGCCCATTGCCCCTCATGTTCCCTATGTGGGAGTTGATCAACAGCTCCTTTACCGGGAAGCCACTAAAAACATGGTATTTCCCACCAAATGGGAAGAGTTATCCATGGTTATTCGGGTCTGGGTCAAAATTAAACTGCCAGGGGACCGCAGGTTTTAGTCCATGTTTCCATTTACCAGGGTTCCATTTTGGGGTTACCCCATTGTTGACCCACTGTCATTTGGGGGCCCTAAATGGAGTAGTGATCAATTTCCATGTGCTTTGCTCAGACCAGGTCCTACTGCGGCAGCTCACGGCCAAGAACCGGGAGATCGCCATAGTGCTGCAGCAAAGCAGGGGCCGTTAGCCAGGAGACAAGAAGAGTGGCTGTGGCTCAAACAACCGGTACCAAAATGGAACCCTGGCAAGTGGAAACATGGACCAACACCTGCGTAACCCCTCCTGTTAATTTTGAGCCACACCCATGTGACCCTGAGGAATTCTTTCATGTTGTTCTTTCCCTTGATCTTGCTACCCCCTGATGGTTTTCTTAGAACATTTGGGGAATCAAGTGGGCAGTTGAAGCCAACTGTGTGGTGTTTGTTCTGTGTGTGGATATTTACACTTGTGGACCAATCGAAGCTGGGTTCCAGGTTGCCGCCCCGATTCCCCTCTTATGCTTTACAGTCTCACGTTGGCAAATCTGGTTGAACTTGAGGAAAGTGTAAACACGAGAGGCGGCCTACGGCAGCTGGTGATCTTCCTGGAGTGCCTCAAGCCTCCCCCCCCAAACGACCCGACCCATGCTCAAATCAAGCACTTTTTTACGCGGGAAAACTGGCCGTGAACCTGGAAAGGGGGTTATCTTGATCACAATTCGCAGCTCGGTGCTTCACCTGGTGGCTGAAAGCCTGGCCTGGGTTCTGCGGTGCTATGCAACACGTGTAAAGGGTGTTTTGACGTATTGACGAGAACTATACAGCTTAGTGATGGGGCCTTTACAATGACCATCTTACACAGTCTCTGGACCGCCTTTTCCGTACTCCATGCTGCTCGTACCCCCTTGATTTGTGATTCGGCCAGCTTTTCTGCAGTCCATTTCTCGAAGTGGGACACGTCGAGTTGAGGCGCAAACCAGCCATCCATTGCTGCTGCTGCTGCTGCTGCTGCTGCTGCTGCTGCTGCTGCTGCTGCTGCTGCTGCTGATAAATATTCTCAATCGTATAAGTATAAGTACACCGCCAGTTTTTGAGAGCATGAGATACACGTGGGGCCAACCAATGAGGCCACTCCATATGATCTGCCCCAACGCCCCTCGGGACGGGTTGGCCGCAAATGCAAATTACTGCACAGGGCCAGTGTTTTGGGGCCAAACCTCAACCCTAAAACACCTGAGCCCTCAAACCTAACAAACTCTACACCTAAACCTTAAGCTTAAACCCCGAGCTGAAAGGGGTCCTGTGGGGCGGAACGCATGGATGGGTGGTGCCATGCCCTAAGCCAGGTATGCAGGCTTCAACCCCATCGCTCCAGGTGGATTGGAAGGCCCAGTCCCGCGTTGGGGCCTGTTCTGCGGGGATTCGGCTTCGTGTGGCAGGGAATACGGGCACTGCTTGTCCTTTCTGCATTTAACAAAAGAACTGAAACTTGCACTCTTGAATTGCTTTGCTGTTCGCTTAGTTCTAATCTTGCGGTTGCCTTATGTATGCACTTCAGCTGGTGGTTCGCATAAGAAGGCTCCAACAACTCAAAATACCAAGAAACACACCGGAACTTGCGAAAGGTGCAGAACATGCGCATGTGGCCCACCCCCACCCCCGGCAGTGGCGAAGATTGGAGGGTCACCCCTTCGCTAAGGGGTGGGTGGGGGGGTTGTTTGGGAGACGGGGCTCAAGAAGCTCGAGGCATAGGTCCCCTTTGTTTCGTTTCATTCCACCAGTCAGCTCAAGGTTTTCGCGCTGGGAGAACACATGTCTTTGCGATGGCAGGATTACAAGCGCACCGGCTCACGAGCGCCCGCGAGACTGCACTTGCAACTCAGCTGCCTCAAATCAGAAGCGCACCCTGCTCACAAGCGCGCGTGCGCGTGAAGCGCGCGTGCGCGTGAGGCTGCACCCACGCCTGCCAAAGGACAAGCACACCCGCTCACGAGCACCACCAGCGCCCGCATGAGGCTATGAGGCTCACACCTGCCAAATGATCGCAGCTGCTCCCGGGCGCCCGCTTTGGACTGCAAACTTTTTGGCTGAGCTTTTGTCAGACCCCATCTCCGCTTTTTCACACTGGCTCCGGCCAAAGAGTTGAACCTCAGTTCTTCCAATGCATTCAGCGTGTGATCATCAGAGAGAAAGAGCTTGTGTCTGTCACAGGCAAGCTTCGGGCTTGGACCCTCAAAGAATAATGTGCTTGGGGAGCTTCAAATTTCCTTGAAACCTTGATCTGGTTGTGACGAAACTGCATGCAGCAAGCGCTTTCCAAGGTGAAGCCGTAAGATTTGGCGCGCTTCGGTGTCATTTGCCACGTGTTTTGCCTCGCGAAGGGGACGGATCTGTTTCGCGAAAGAAGCTGACAGGCGGAACAGAGGCTCAGTGGAAGGCGGGTGCTGTGGGGCCCTTGCATGCTTTTCCCATTCGGGCGCAGGTGGGCGGTCAAATTTATGAACCCCCCCCGTTTTGGGATGGCTCAAGATCAATCGCGACCATTGTGGAACATGTGGAACGGTTCACTACCCATTTGGGCGTGTGTCAAAAGTAGGTATCCAAAGCGAAACCCAGGAAGCATGGACTAAGCAACCTGCGCTCCAAATGCTGATGGTTTGTTATTTGATGTGGGAACTCACCAGGTGGTCAAAATAATGGCTGAACCCAATCCCTGGCTTAGCCCAATCCGTGGCTCGAAGAAACCCGGGCGAGCCTCGCCCGGACGAGTCGAGTCGGATGGCCGCCCGCGAGGAGGCGCTGCTGAGCTGCGTCTTGGCCAAGGACCTGCAGCTGGCGGCCTACGCGTGCGGGGTCAGGGGCCGAGGTTCTCCCGGGGTGGGGGGGGTGCCGAAAGAGGGGTCTGGGGGAGTTGTTTTTTCCCCTAACAGCTGAAAGCTTGGGGGTCTCAGCCCAATAGGCTCCGGGGTGGTTCGGCGGTGCAGAGGTAAGGTTCCACCTAGGGTTGCACGAGGGTTCCACCAGGGTTCCACACCAGGGTTCCACCACGGTTCCACCAGGGTTCCACCAGGTTCTGCGAGGGCTGCGGGAGGTGCGAGCACTAAAACGAGCACCGCAAGCTGTTGGGGATATCACCTGAGCTTATTTCTTTCTCTGGAAGTTCCCTGAAGAATTTGTTCCCCAACAGCTGGAAGCTTTGGGGTCTCAGCCCAGATAGGCTCCGGGGTGGTCCGGGGCAGCCCTGAGGTAAGGTTCCACCAGGGTTCTACCAGGGTTCCACCAGGGTTCCTCCAGGGTTTTAGCAGGGTTTTTCCAGGGTTCCACCAGGGTTCCACGAGGGCTGCGGGGTGGTGCGCTGTTGGGGATATCACCTGAGCTTTTGTTTAGTATCCTGGGATGGGAAGGCTGAACAGGAGGGTTTGGTTTGCAGCCGGGTTTGCAGGTTTTTTGGTGGCTGGGGGTGCTGGGGGGTGCCGACAGAAAAGGGTGCCTGGTTGGGGGGGGGGAGGGGTCTTTCCAGGTTTTTGTTTGAAGGAACCCAGCAGGTACCCTCAAAAAGACACAGACCTTTTTCTTTCACAGGCAGATGGTTGGATTTGTGAAGCGAAAGGTGGGGGTTTGTACCTTCGCCTTTAGGAGGGGTTTCGTTGTCGGCTCCGGTTGGGAACATAGTGGGGGACAATGTGATGCAATCTAGATTGCAATCAGCCAACACTGCTATGTCAGCATCCAAAAAGATGATGGCTCGTGCTGCAGCATTTCAGGGTAGAGGCAACCACTATTGCCACGGGTGTATTGAGTCCTGTGTTATTTCTTTGTCTTCTTCTTCTTCTTCTTCTTCTTCTTCCACCAACCGCTTTCATCTTCAGATGGCAAACCATGGGTCAACGGGAAAGTGTTGCACCCGAATTACATTTGCTTAGCCTCGCTCCAACAGTCACGGGACTGGGCCTCCCACGAATGTCGGAGAAAGGATAGCCTTCCTCCAAAGGGCAAAAGGCCTTTTTCCAAGGAACATCCGGCTTGTGACTAGTGCATCTTGCAGCATTTGAAGGCATGCATGCAATCTTTTGAGAAAACAACTTGACATGAACATAACTGCGAGAAACAGTGTCGGCTTCAACAAAGTTGCTGCTATTGGCAACTACACATACTGACTCGCACAAAGATTCCATTTCACTGCCCGAACGGGAGGCCTTGTTTATGTTGAAGCCGTTCAAGTAGCCTTGGTTGATCCTGGTCCCAGCCATGTAATGGGGGGAAACGAGTGTGGAATCCGAAGGGAGAAAGGTCCAGGCCCCGGGTTTCGGCTCCGAACTCAAAGCCGCGTGAAAGCGCACACCTCCAAAGCTGCTGTGTTTCAAAATGGACTCCCCTATAGTTAGCATGTACCACGGCTTCCGAGGACCACAGCCAGGTCTTCCTTGAAGGGGTTCGTTCAATTGTATTTGTCATGCCGATGATTAGCTTGAATCATATGTGTTCACCATGTGCTCCATGTACCTCCGCAAAATACCACAGGTAGGTACATAGAGGGTATAGCAACCATGCATGTTTCTGAAGGGAGTGTATGGGAGTGCCCCCCGAATGGTGGTTTTCCTGTTGGTTTTCCTTTAAAACCACCCACAAGGGGTACACCCATGTCAGTACCAGAGGGTTGCCAGCTCAGTATAACCAACAGAACTCACCGAGGCTGTGGCCCTGCTGGCAAAGTGGCACCCGGCCACAGGCCCGGTTGCGGACCTGAAAGGGATGCCGCCTTTTCGAGCGGGCCTGGACCTGTCAAATGTTGACCAAGCCTTCCCTCTTTGGAAAGGAAATCTGAGGATTCCCAACTTTTTGTGAAAACGAGGCATCCATCTCGGAGGGTTGGTCTGTGTTTGTGTACGTATGAGAGGAATAGGATTTCCTGCTCTGCCCAAAGAAACTGGATTGGCAATCTCAGGCTTGTGAGGGTGACTCTATTTGATCACTTTTGAAGTGATATTAGTTCAATATGTGTCACTGCCGGATTGCAAAAAGTGCAATGACTTTGGGAGGGTTATGGTATCGATCTTTGCCCTGTCTTCTCGCGAGAACACACAAAGTTCAAGCTTGAAGCTGCTTTTGCTTTGGTGGACTGCCAGCCAGGCAAGCTGTAGGCATCGTCAGCTAGCAGTATGTTCTGTTCTTGTTTGTTATTTCAACCTGACGAGTGCCGACACAAGAGAAGCATTGTTCTGCTTTGTTTTTCACGCAAGCTCACTGCGAGTGCGTGTAGCATCTCAAGCCTACCTTCAAATCTGTCGGAGACGGCAAGCTCTTGGGAACCGCATCTTCAATGGCCGTTCGCTAGGCCGAGAAATTCTGCAGGAGTGCTGTGCCCTTGTGGAGTCTCCCCCCATCCAGGCGGGGGGCAGCAGAAAGCAACTCCACTGGGTCTGTTTGGGGGGCACCCTGTTTGTGTGGCTTTCAAGGCAGCCACCATGTTGGGGGTCCGGGGTCCACTAAAAGAGATGTGCCACCCGCCTTTCGCTTTCAGCACTGGCCTCTTTCGATCGGCGAGCCCATAGCTGAGTGAGGAACAATGATAGGGCTTCGTTTCAGCAACAGCAAAGGCATCTAGGTTGCCATGTTCTTTCATCCCAAATTACAACAAGTACGTACATTAAAGGGGGTTGGGCACTTCACGACCGGGTAGAGAAAATCCCTTCGCCCGTATCTACCACGGCACGTTCCCTGTACTATATCCGAAATTGTGCCATCTGCCAATTCACGGCATACTTCAGCCACCCCGTGTCAGGTGCCATGGCAACGTGGGAGAGAGGGTGCACCTGACCGGGGTCCCTCCTCTTGAGGGAACTGATCTTTCAGGTACTCTCCCATGCTATGTTCGCGGAAGGGTAGTCGTCTTTCCACAAAATCATGTGAACCATGTGGCTGTGGCTCGAAACTTCAGGGCCCGGGGCCACGCATGCTACGCAGGTTTTGGTCTTTGTTTCCATCCAAGCCCAAAAATGGCTTACATTTTTTTTTCCGAGCCACAGCCAAGTGTGACACAAGACCAAAACGGGTTTCCCAACTCCAAACTTTTGGACGCATGGTCTTGAAAAGAAGGAACCCCCTTGTGATTGGCCACTTTTTTTTGAGCCACAGCCATGTGGCTGTGGGTCAAAGTACCCAAGATGGAAGCCTGGTAAATGGAAACATGGTCTAAAACCTGTGGTCCCCTGGTGGCTTAATTTTGACCCATACCCAAATGACCATGGGTACCTCTTCCCATTTGGTGAGAAATACCATGTTTTTCGTGGCTTCCCCACCAGGGTCACTTGGGCCGCGCCCATTCGAAGCGCTCCGCGATCCGCGGAACCGGAGTCCGAGGCGCGGCTGCAGGACCGCAGCGAGGGCCTGCGCCTGGCGCTGTGTGCAGAGCAGCTGCTGGTGCCTGGGGGCACAGCCGGGTTTCCTTTTGAAGGTAAACACACGCACAACACACCTGATATTATACATATATAATATATACATGTATAAGATATTATATATATATATATATGTATGTATATACACATACATACATATATCTATACATATATATATATATATATATGTGATGACATACATATGTATAGTATATATATATATGTATACTGGGCTTATAAAGGAGTTAAAAGGAGTTATACAGGGGTTGTAAAGCGGTTGTAGGGGAAGGATTTTGCGGTTGCTATGTTGGAAGGGTTGGGTTAGGGTGACCTTCTTGTTGGAAACGGTTTTGGAGGCGTTCATGTTGAGTACGCTTCCTGCAGAGGGAAAGAGAATGGAAGCCGGGAACCCCAGTCCAATTTTGGAGTCAACCCAGAAGAGCGCGGAGGGAGGTGCCCTGTTGGAAAGGGTGGGAAGTTCGGAATGACATGTGTTTCCCCATTCCTCAATCAATGCACAAGTCATCCGAAAGAAGATGGCCAAGCCAAAGCAGCCTGCCTAGACCAAGCATACAATGTTGTTGGTTCAGAGGAGTAGGTTGCACCATTCCAAAGACAACGCAAAGCGCCATTCGAGGGAGTGGTCTGAGGTTTGCTTTGGTTTTCTGCAACATGGGGCATCTCTACTGTGACTTCGCCATCTCCAAGCAGTTTTTGCCCCCAGTCCTGTTCGTAGGCACGGCCTTGAGTGGTGCAAAGAGGCAGATGCGAGGAATACCTTCCGTTGATTCATATTTGTTTGAATGAAAGTGACCACTCACCATAGGTGTCCTTTTTGTTTTGGTAGACAAAATCGATGGCGATTCCTGGTTGACCTTGTTTCATAATCCAGGGCCATCTATTTTACCCAAAGGACAAAAGGACACCTATGCCGTTTGACCGGAACATCAGATTCATTTGCATGCGGCTTCCTCGCCGGGTTTCTGCTTTGAGGATGTGCCCCTGGGCCTTGTCAGATGCCCCGGAGGAGCTGAACGCACGGGCCCCAGGCTTCGCGAACTCGGCGGTCGGATTGTCAGGATCTGTGATACATGTCTCAGGGCCCCTAGCTCGCACATTTCGGGAATGCGAGACGTGATTCACCATGCAGACGCCCGTCTTTGAAACGTTGCACAGATATGGCAGTGTGCCAGGGCGATCACTGCTGGCCCCACATGTGAACCTACAAACAGTGTCGTATGGACAAACTCAAGCTTAACTTCAACTTACCTGTTGCCTGCCTTTTGCCTTGGTGAAGCGGCAAACCGCATTGCCCACATGGCCTCTATATCAGCTTCAACATGTTTTCGGCAGTGAGCACTTAGCCACAAGTCCCACGTGTGCGTCTGGTTGTTCAGTATCACGACTTTCACAAATCTGTGTTTGGCTCTGGGAGTTTTTTTCTGCCACAGCCCATGAGTTGCATTCACCGGAGCCACTGGGGAGCCGCGTTCCGTGGTTCCGACGCTTCACCGCCCACGGCTCAGGCGATGGATGAGTTGGGCCCGAGGACAGCATGGGACAGCGCCCGCGCGCAATGGCCGCCATGTCATTCGGGTTTTAGTCCATTCCATTTTCTAGGGATCGATTTTGGCGACCGATTTTTGACCCACAGCCATTCAGCCATTTCTTTTGAATAGCGCAACTGGAGCTATCTTCCAAGGTCCCAGGTCCAATTTCCTCCCTCCCTCTGGTCTCACTGCATGTTAGCTGGTTCATCTTGTTTTTTTTTTTTTGTTTTTTTCTCGCAGGAGGAAGCTCTTTGCCCGCGTGCTGCAACGGCTGCCCAGCTCCAATGTCAAGGCCGTGCGCGATGCATTTCGCGCGCGTGCGCGAAATGAGATTGCTCCACTACTGGAGGCCAGTGCTTTGGCTCCTAGGATGCCCGTGCTTTTATTTGGATCTGCTAACACATTTAAATTATTTAAGGCATTTAAACCATATTTCAGTTTCTGTAATTACGGATCTGGAGAAACTAGATACTTAAATACCTATAAATATTTGAATTGGTTCGAGTTTGGCCCGGGCTGGGCCAATTGAATAGTTTGAATAATTGCAATAATCTGGATAATCGAAACAATTTACATCACTGGACTTGTACAAACTGTTTAAAATACTGTTGGATTCAAACAACTTAACATTTGAATTATTTCAAGTTATTGAATTATTCTTTGGAGTCTGACAAAAGTACATAATCTGAGGACTTTAAATCATTTGAATTATTTCAACTATTTTAAATGCAAAGTTGTTGAATCTTGAACCTATTTGCATCATTTACATGGCCCGGTTCCAGCCTAGACTCCACTACAGAGTATGGTTGAATTATTTCGCGGTGTCTGGAGAATGTACATAAATTAAACAACTTAGAGCATTTGAGTTACTTAACTCATTTAAGCTTTTTTTGGGGCTCTGGAGAATCTCAGTATTTAAGCAACGTGCCTGAATTGGTTCCTGTCTAGCGCGGGCTGGACCATGAAATAGTTTAACTTGAATAGTTTAACGATTCAAATTATTCAGGTCATTTAAATTAATGATTCAAAGTATGTAGATTTTGTACATCGTTTGGTTTTGATGTAAATTTATCCAAACTGTTTAAATGGCCCGATTCCAGCGTACACTCAACTATTGGCGAGTTTAAATTGCTTGCATAATTCAAGCAGCGCAATTATTTGAAATATGTTTGGTGTTTTAATCATTTCATCAAATTAAATATTCTTAATATCTGAGTTAGTTCCTGCCTGGCCCGGGCTGGACCTTTTCAAATAGCCTAAGTATGTCACATAACTTAAATAATGTAAATCGTCTGGATTCTTCAAACTATTCATTTTTTTGGGGGTCTGGAGAATTGAAATAATTCAACGCAAATAGAGAAGTTATTTAAATGGCCTGGTTCCAGCCTGCGCCCAGCATGCGCTCAATTGTTTAGATTACTAAGACATGTGTTTTTGTTTTTGTTTTTTGGCGGGGGAGGGTCTAGAGAATTTGAATAATATAGTTGATTTAAAGCATGTAACATATGTCAATTACGTGCGGTCTGGGGAAGTACAACTCGAAAGCTTAAATAATTTAACTCAGCGTTTTTAGTTTGCATTATTTGAATTGTTTAGATTGTTTTATATGCCCGGTTCCAGCCTGACTCAACTATTCATTCAACAATCTTAAACATATGTATGCGGGTGTATACTTCACATCATTTAGATTATTCTAATGGGCAGGTTCCAGCCTATTCTCAACTATTTGAATCTCTCAAATTGTTGAAGTATTTCTGGGTCTGGAGTTTCTTTTTGATATAATTAACCATTTGACTTGATTAAGTTGTTTAAGTTATTTAAAGCTATTTTTGGGAGCCTTGATCATTTACTTTAGATAGTTCGGATCAATTGAGTTATTTAAATCGTATCATTCAAGGATTTTGTTCAGCTAAAATGCTCCTGCGGGGCGGGGGGCGCCTAATTATACATATCTTATTCCCTTTTACAAGCCCGTCAAGGTGCAGACTGTCAGCCGCACAAGCTGCCCATTTTTCTGTTTAACGACAGAGGCTGTCGTGCTGGACTGGGAAGGGGCTATGCTGGGCAATGCAGGCATTCGATCCTATCGGCGTGATGTGAATTTAGCAGGTGCTTAAGGTTTCCCCACTTTCAGTCAAACACCACGTCGACGCGGGCCAGGCTTTGAAGGCTCTCCTCTGCGGGTTGCTGGAAATGTGCCCGCGCCTCAGCTTGCGATTTCTTGGCCGCAAGAGGGGCTTCGCGGTGGCCAGAAATGGAGCGCTGGAGATCAAAGCGGCTGGAAATCATGCTGCAGGTTGAGCTGCGAAAGTGTGTGCCGGTGTTGGGCGGAGGCAAGGAATCATTTGAGGCTCGCATTGGCCACAGACCCCAGATGCAGTTTGCAGCGGCCACGCTATTTTTCGAGAGAGGTGTGCATGAAGAAATAAGATACGAAGCATGCAGAGATTCCATTTTTTTTGGTCTGGGAAATCAATAAGTGTGGCTAAAAGATGATGTTGGATTTTGCTTGACTTGACTTCTGGTACCCGGAGTACGCCTTGTAGCGTTCTTGGCCAGTCCCGCTCCTGCATTGCTCCGCGCCTTAGGCCGCGATTGTGTTCAGCCGGATGAATCCGGTGTGACCATGGGAGACTTCGATGCCAGGTAGGGCAGCCGGATTTGTTAGAATTGCCGCTTTCGGCTGCAGCCCATTTGGATGAACATTTGGGCGCGCTTTTGTCGAGTCGTTTTTGCCCGGAGGCAAGCCAAGTGACAGCCACCAGTCTCGAAGAGACACTCATGTCCGTCTATGTTGGGCGTCACTCTATCGGAAGGGTCGTCTCATGCCAGAGGAGAATGTGGAGGGTTTGGACGATTGCTACTTGCATGACTGCAACGCGTTAGCAACAACTGACCAAGCCAAGCCAACTAGCCCACTGGCAATCCCATTCAAGCTTGAATTCCGGGACCTGACATGACGAGGTTGCCATAAATATTCATTGGTGTGAATCGCTACTTTGCGCGATCTCTTCAGCGACACAAGCAGTTCTCATCCAAGCTTTGCCCTTGTCTTCACCTGTTGGACATGATGGTAGACTCTAGGCAGATAGATAGAACGCATCCACACCAGCAATTCATGACTCGCAGACTCGCAGCAACTTTTCCCAACTCCAGTTCAGGTGGGTGTATCCAATCAACATCCCCTGGACATGCTGAAGCAAATGTCTGCATGCGGAAGAGCGGGAACTTCGAACTATGTTAAGGATTTTGTTCACCATCCAATCAACCCCTCTAAGACTGTTCTTTAAAGCTTGCATTGCATGCTGCCCAGTTAACCAACGGTGACGTGACTGCAGGCTTCTCACTTGCTCGGCAGGCGCCGGCCCCCTCGGCCCACGGGAGACGCCCACCGGGCGATGCGCCAGGGCCCTTAGGGCTTTGGATGGATCGAGGCTGTGCCGGCCATGTGTTGCTTCCCCTTTTTTTTCCCGTGGTTGACAAGCGGAGATTTCACCAAAGGCAAAGGCGAATGGAATACATAGGGTTGATGTGAGGAACAGAGGGCCAAGCGATTGTTATTGTCTTGAAAAGGAGACCAACAGGCAAAAAGGCTTTGGACGGGCAGCCAACCTTGACAAGCTGCCCAATCATGACGCATAGAATGCAACAGTTATTTCTGACGCTTCCCGCAAAATGACCGCTTCAATGATTCAGCAACTCCACGTCATCTTGCGCGGGCAACTGTTGGACGCAGCGCGCCTGCCAACGTTTGAGGCTTACTGCAGTTGGGCGGAGGTGCCAGTGCAAAGAGGTCTTAAAGCTGACTGCTGTTCCATGAGGTCGATCCAGACTGGAGGAGGTGCTGCTGAACATGCGGGCGGCGGACATTTGGCAGCGGGCCCAAGGTTGTAGCCACGCACCAGCTGGGTGAGGGAGGAGCTCTTGGTTGAAAGCAGATACCAACATTCCCTTCATGTTGGTATCATCTCAAGATAATAGAATCAAACTCGGTACACATGCGACATTCCATAGGCATAGCCGCACGTGCACATGAGCTGCAAGAGAAGAAGCCAACAAGGTTTCTTCACTTGTGAGACGGCCTTCTTTTCCCCCCACCCCCCCACCCACCCCACCCACCATCCCCCACCCACACCCCACCCGCCCTTTCCTCGCGACTCGCCGCACCGGGGGATCTCGGCTCCGTGGCAAGGCGCCGGGGCTTACAGTGGGAGGGCACCCAGCTGGCGACGGCGCGGCTGGCCTGTGCGGTGGCCGGCAAACTGGATGCCCGGCGCCCAAGCGGCGTTGTTTTTCAGCAGTTTTTGTTTAAGTTTTTTTTTTTTGTAAAGCATTTGTTTTGTTTTGCCAGTTGTTTTTGGATGTCAACGGATGCACGGCTGGAAAAAGATACCACCCAGTTGGTTTGGCCAACAAGCCCTCAATCACACCTGAAACCATCTTCAATCATTGCCACTGACGCTTTTATGTCGGAAACTGATCCTAGAGACATCCAGCTTTAGCCAAGCCTCCTGCCAAGCGAAGGCCAACCGCGGGGGTCGGTTGTGAACCAGTAAGCTCAAGATAGTCACTAAGCCTCTATCTTAGAAAGAAACTACAGCCGCGTCAAAGCACAAACAGATTGAAAAGGCTCTGGATCATTTAGACACTTTAGACTTACACGAGGCACCAGAGCTATGAGGACACAGTGTAAGCTGCATGGATGTCACGTTTGCCTCAACCCGTGGGAGCTTCGGCGAGGATGAAGCGCTACTGTCCTGCTTGGGTCTGATGTTGGAGGCCGGGGTGTTTGTGCAAGGCTTGAATATTGAGCCAAATGAAGCAAGCAAATTACAGGTCTTTGCATAGCTGCGTCAGTCTTGCGACATTGGCGTTTTGAAGCTGGGCAGGCGGAAGCAGCCTTGCGCGAGAACTCCTCGCGACGGGCTAAGCGACCAGCCATACTCAAGGCCCTTTTGCGATGCCACGGACATAAACTCATGGCCAATATGGCCATTACTGGGATCAAGCCAGCTCATCCCTGCGGGTACTGATTCGGGACAGACCAATACTTAGGTTTTCAGGAGGTGTCGAGGGACATGGGACATGCGTTCGTTCTGGCGCACCGAAATGGGGGACTAGTAAGTGTTATGGGCTGCTGAGAACGGCTGGGACATTGGACAAGCGGCACTGCGCGCACAGCTGTTTACGCGAAGCTTGGACCGACTTTATTCGACAGACTGTAAGTTTGGAGCAAAATGGATTGTGAGCGAGCAATAGGAATCCAATGGTAAACAGCTAAATTGTGGTTCATGTGAGATACTCATGATGCATGCATACCAGCATGAGCTTTGACCAGAGCCACCAGAGCGCTAGTTCGATCCGTCCCAATGCGGAGCAAGGGCTGATACCACCGAGCACCGTATCGCCTTTGAGAAAGAGCTGCCTCCGACTCAGTGGGCAAGAGACTCCTAATGTTGGAGGAAGTCAAGCCGACACGAAGAGAAAGCCAACCAGGATATTTGGGACCAGAATTTGGCAAATGTTCCGACAGTGACATGTGCGCTCATTATCAATGCTTGATTTGACCCGTCCTTTGGATTATTCTACTCATATGACACGATGTTGCAATCTCCAGTCTATGTCTATGTCCGGTCAGAGCATGCAGAGCATTTGGTTGAAACATTATTGAAAAGCATCGCAGCCATATTTCACATTCAGACGCCACTTCTTCAATTGACCGACCGTGCTCGTCATGGGACGGGGATCTCGGAGGCAAGACTCTGCATGCTCCCGCCTGCGTGCCTGCGTGCCTCTGTCAAATATTTGTTCCTTACAATGCTGCCGCCGAGGCTGCTGCTGTGCATTGGTGTCTGTGAACGGCGCCCCGACGTCGCTCGCGGTGAAGTGGCTGAAGGCCCGTTCCGGTTTTCGCGTGTGAGCGAAATTGGATTGGCAGCTAGCCGAAGATCAGATTGTCGTGTTTTGTTGCTGGCAAGAAAACGCATGGTATGAGTTTGAAGCATCGCATTGGCGAGACATCACAAAGGTTACGAAGGTACGATGGGTCCAGCGGGCAGTGCGGCCGCATGGTGAAGCCTAAATTTGGATAGAACGTGGACATCTACTGTTTGCTCCCCCGGCCCACATTCGAGAGTTTGATTGGCCCCATTCCTGACCACTTGCCCATTCAAACTTTACGATTCAACTGCACTTGTCTCGTTTTGGCCTGACTCCAGACCGGCGGTTTTCAACTTGGCATCTCCTTACAGTTCAAAACCCTGGAGGTGATTACTGGTAATGTTGACCCTGGAGTAAACCCGTCCTTCTGTGGATGGTTACGAAGTCCATTTCGCACCACCGTTCAGAAACCTGGAATGATTCGATTCCCCAACGTGAATACCAACAAACAATGGTTTCAACCATGGTTTCAAAGTGGTTCGAACGGATTCGTTCACTCACAGTATCAGGTGTTGCTCAAAGTTAAAGAGCTAGGTTACACAGTTTTTAGGTTCAAGTGCCATTTCGGTACATTTCTGTGAGCCACAGCCTATAACAGGGGGTGTTCCCTCCAACAGTGATGACTCCTCATTAAACCATGCGACACCCCGATATTAATCAGCCACGGGTTTATGAAGCTGGGGTCAACATGAGTCAGTGTCCAGGGTCAATGCGTGAGGTGTGCTGGGCTTTCTGGTGCGCGCTGCCGTGTCCGAAGAGTGGCGTGGCGTGAAGGAGGCCGGCGAGTGGGCGAATAGTCGGTCTCATGACGGAGAATGAGTCAGGCTCCACAAATGCTCCACTCCTCTCAGGCCAATTAGTATTCAAACATATTCAAAGTTGCTTGGATTTGGTGCAAAAGTTCCTTTGGCTTCCTGTCACGCGCAAAGAAGCACCCACGATGGAAATCTTACGCTCCTGCGCACATCCACACCCCGTTATGCTGCCTGCATCGGGAGTTGCAGTTACGAGAGTTGATTCGGCCTGGGCAAGTCTGCGCAAGCCTATGAAAAACATTTCCGAAGTTTGATTGCTGGGCAGCATTGCATGGTAAATATTAACAGTTCGGCCACACAAGCAGTAGATTCTGTTTGGGGTGATAGCACGAGACGACAGTATGTGTTGCAACAAATGGGCCATGGCCGGGGAGTAGGTTGGAGGGGAAAGCAGGTGAGCGTATATTTGGACCAACAAGCCTCATCAGCGCAACTGCCAGAACAAGGAGAAACTTCACATGAATAGCATCACCAGAGGCAAGCCAAACTATCGGCCAGGATACTTATCCAGTGTTCATGAATGAACACGGTTTTGTTTTTACACGCCGTGTTCGACATGTGTTTGTCAACATACTCAGCCAGTTTGGTGGCCTGTCTGAGCAATATCAACTCTGGAAGGCTGGGCAGAAACGGCCATTTTTCCTGCTTCACGTTGCAGGCATGTTTTGGGAGTTTACCCGGTTGCTGGTTTTTTAATCCTTCAGCTTCGAGACATTTTCTTCCAGTCTTGCCTCTTTCAGGCAAGCAGCTGACCCCCGTAGAGTTTAGCACAAAATGGCACTGTACAAGCTCTTGTAGACACGCGAGCAGCAGATCAGTGTTGCACTGTGCGGTACATTGACATGTTGACGAGAAGGCGTATGACATGTTTGCGAGCATGACCACGACGACATCGCATGCTGCTTGGTAATGAGTTCAGGATCTGTTGTTTGGAAGCACGAAACCAGATGTCACAAAGCAGAGAAGCGCGAAAAGAGTTCAGGAGCCATGTTTTTTGCAGGGTTGCCCGCCCAAAAAAAAAGGCTTCTTGGCTCAACCCGGCTCGCCGCACGCCCGTTTTTTTTGGGGGGTGAAACCTCGGGGGCCGCTGATCGCGGATTTGGCAATCCGCAGGTCCTGCAGCTGAAGCTGGGGGACACGAAGGCGCAGGCGCGGATGCCCCGTTTTCTTGGTTGAGGGCGTCCCCCTTTGGTCGGGGGTGTTAAACGGAAACCAAAAGGAAGACCCGAAGCCATTTTTGGAGGGATCCCCTAACCCTGCAAGAGCCGGGGCTTCAGTCCGGTTGCCGGTGTAGCTGAAAGCTCCGTGTGCTTGGTCGGGACCCTTTCAAGAGAACCCCTGAAAGCACGTGGCTGTGCAATCCAAACCCTTCCCCGTCCTGTCTGCTTCTCTCCGCATCCTTCATGGAGGTGCTGCACGTGGCACCGTGACTTGCGTGCTTATCCTGCGCAGGCTGTCCAGGATATGGCGGACGAGGTAAAATCTTCCGCCGCGCGCCTGGCTACTGAGTGTTGAAAGGCAACTAAAGGGGACCCCGAGGTTTTTAAAGGGACCTCTTTTAAGGGCACCTTTGTTGGGTTTAAAGAGAAACCAACCAGGAAAACCATTTATTTTTTTATTTGTTTGTTTATTCATTTGTTTATTTATTTATTTATTCATTTATTTACTTATTAATTTATTCATTTGTTTATTGATTTATTGATTTGTTTTGGGGGGGGTTCTACAAAAAGGCACCCAAAAGGAGAACACCACCATGGAAGTCTCCCGACTTTGGCCTCCGACTCCCGGCCGACGGCCGACGGTGCCCCGACTTTTCGGAAGGCCCGGGACTTCTGGGAGGCCCAGCTCAGCGCGGACGCGCCGCAGCGCGTGGCCGGGGAGCTGGAAAGACGCGGCCGGTGAGTTGGGCCATTGGAACGAACTCGGAAAGACGGCGGGTGATTTCTTGGAAAAGGCAACCTTTTTTGGGATTTGCTTTTTGTCTTCTTTGGGGGTACCACTTTTCTGGGATTTGCTTGTTTTTCTTTGGGGGTTACAACATTTTTTTGGATTTGTTTGTTTTTTTTGGAGGGTACAGCTTTTTTTTGGCCCGTTTTAAAGGGAACAGAGAAGAAAGGGATGAAGCTGAACCGGGCATGAGTGCAGCGCTGCGGCCGCCTGTTCGGCCATCCAAAAGATCACGGAGCGAAAGGGTAGCTCTGCTACCAATCTCAATGGATTGGAAGGGGCCCACGAAGTCCCCGATCCAGAAGTACACGAATCCCAGCAGGCAGCAAATGCTTTTCTCGCTCAGCGCAGCCATCGGCGGATGCCGCCAGACGGCGAAATGCCCACCCTAAGCGGGAAAGTCGGATGCGGGCCAGTATTGCCGTGGATTCCAAGGGTTTCATGCCATGTTGTGTGGCACGCAACTCACAGGAAACAAATGGACGCGTCTTGCTTTGCACCTTTTTGGATTCGTTTTACAGGGAACCAAAAGGAAACCCACTATTTTGGAGGGGCCAAACAAGATACTCTCAAATGGGGCTTTGGTTTTCCGAGCCCGGAAGTAGGGGACTGGTGTCTCACCCTCGGAAAGAAATGATGGTCGCAACACGCGTGCCGCCCATCCCGTTTGGAAAGCCTCTTTTGGAGCGGGGTCTGCTTGGCACCGAGGTTTCATTTTGTTTTTGCAAGCTGTTACTGGAGTTTCAAGAAGCGTGGCTTTGCTGCGCTTCAGTTTGGGGCGGCAAAGTACTTCTTCAGGCTTTTCCACAGAGCACCAGTATCCACAATTCCGGCCACAAGCCGGTCTAGACCAGAATGGTTTAATATGGGGATGTATGGAACAGCCACGACCTGTCAGGGTTGCCATTATTTCAAATGCAAGATCGTATGCGAAGGGACGAACCAGTTCTACTTGTTTTTTGATGGGGTGCCATGGATGCCTGTGGGGCTCAGCTCTTGAAGATCTACCAAAAGCGCGAGGCACATGTGTCAACCACTCATGGCTAGGGCAGCATCCTGCGCATCTTCGACATTACATCACCGTCATTCATGCCAAAAACGCCGGAACGGGCAGGGGCTTCCGCTTTCCTAGGCTGATCTATGCGCCCGCCTTGGTGGTAAGGCAGAGCATGAGCCGGCGGCCCGGAATCTGTGTTGACGCGCCAGCCATCCCAACAGCTGGCGTAGTTCTAAGATCGAGCTTGTATCTGGAGCACCTTAAAACGCACGCTATGAGGAAGACAGTACTGGTAGCTCGGCAACGTCATGTCCTGTTTTCTCTTGTAGTCGTGTCGCACGCAGGTTTGCGTTCCTTAATTCGGCAAGGCATATCCCAAATCCGGAGTGAGGTCTGCCGATCTCATCAACAGTTTCGTACAAGGGTGGGTACCCGGCACCCCCAGAAACAATTGATTCGGCCCTTGTTTCCTGGCAGTTGCCACTCTTCCAACCAGATGACCAACCCAACTTTTTGATCGTAGCGTCAGTGGTGCGTCTGTATAGCCGAGCCTTCCTGAAACAGGCAGTGGTGTTGGGCCAGTGAGTGAGGCCAAGCTTCATTCCAGCAACACTGCCGCGGGCCTAGCTCATGATTTCTCTCTCTTCTTTCGTCGACCAGAGAAAATGCCGGGGAAGGGGGGGGAGGGGGGGGGGGGAGGGGCTTGTCGGATGCAAGACGGTCTTGTTAGTTGAGGAATCAAGGAACAACACTTTCTTGAATCCACTGCGTTCTGCCATCACACGGCTTGCAAGCTCTTCATGTTGCAAGCGTTTTATACAGTTGCAGATCTTCATTTTGGGTCTGGTGGATTCCAAGCTCATTCCCAGGCAGCTGCTGCTATCATTGGCCCGCAAGTCGGCCTGGAGCCCAAGCCTTGCGCGGGTTGAGAGCCCAGCGTTGACGTGGCGAGCAGAGCTTTTCAGCTGGACGCGGGATGCACCTACCAATTCACTGAGCGGGGAAAGACCCAACTTCCCTTGCCCCTTGGGTTGTGGCGATGAATGGAGCGTTGCTCACATGATCTCACATGCAACTTTATGAAGTCAAGTATTTGCTGCTCAGGCCCCGGTTTAAGCTCAGCATCAGAATCACAGGCTCCGCATTTTTCCTTGACAGAGCGCTTTGCGTTGCGTCAGGCTGACTACCGCCAGATCAAGAACAAGCCTTTGTCCGACATTGAGTTCCGACCGATGCAGGCAAGACAAACTGCTGACACGGCAGCAAACCTTCGCAAACTTTATTAGGAAATCCAAAGGTTCGCAAACCCAGACCAGGGTTCGTGCGAGGGCGGCGCCGGCCCGGCGCAGCCCTGGCCAGGTCCTGCCAGAGGCGGCGCCGGCCCGGCGCAGCCCTGGCCAATGAAACGGCTGGGTCATGGAAGTGGACAAGTTAATCACTCAATGCACATGGCACCTAGGCACATCAACCAATTCTCAAGCTTCAGCCGACCAAAGCTTGAACCAAGTATGGGTCAAAACTAAACCACCAGGGGACCGCAGGTTTTGGTCCATGTTTCCACAAGCTAGGGTTCCATTTGGGGGTTACCCTAGTTTTGACAACCACAGCCATATTAAACCACAACCACATCTTTGCCCAAGCGCAAGTGTCACATCCGCATCTCAGATCTCGGCGGTGGCGTCTTGGGCCAGCACGGGCCTGTCCGGCACCTCAGGCAATGGCACGCGCGCCCGAAAGCATCCCAAGCCTTGCGTAGAATCTGAAGGCGTGTTGCGACTTGCAACGTTTCTACAATGATGATGAAGTCCCAGCCCTAGGTGTTGAGAGAAGTCAGCAAGAAGAGTTGATTGACGTGTCCTTTGCATCCCACCAAAAGTGCGTGCCTAGTAGCAGTTGATATGTTGTTGAAGGTCGGTTGCCGATCTGCCACTTCAACGTTTGCTTTTGGCTCAAGCCATTTGGGCAGAAGGTGTGTTGCTGATTGCTGTGCCATTCAAAGGTTCGCCATGGAGTTGACATCCGTGACCACCCCAGTCGGGACTAGCGAGAAAGTTGAGGTGGAGAGCGAGAAGAAGGCTGAAGTGGTCGAAGCGCCGGAGGACGAGCGAGAGCCGAGCAGCGTCATCCTCTTTTGGCTTTGCTGCGTCAGTGCGCTGGAAGGGCTGGATACTCAGCTCGTTCCTGCCTGTCAATACGCTCTCCAGCGAGACTTGGGACTTCAACTGGGGCACTTTGCCGTGCTTACCACGGTTCAGATGGTACTGACAAACTTGGCCGCTCCATTCTGGGGCATCCTTGCTGACCGCGGCACGCTGAAGAAGAAGACCATCCTGACCCTGGGAGCTGTTGGTGAAGGCCTGGCGGTGACGATCTTCGCTTTCGTGCCGAACTTCTACGTCATGATCTTGCTGCGCGGCATGAGCGGCTTCTTCTTGGCCTCGCTGCGGCCAGTGTGCAACGGGCTGATCGCAGACCTCACCAGCGACAACAAGCGCGGCAAGATCTTCGGTCGCGTGCAGAGCGCACTGCTCTGTGGCATGTTCTGCTCCCTCTTGATTGCCGGCAACGTGGCAAACCCGCATGTGGGCAGCATCCCGGGTTGGCGCTTCCTTTTCGCTGGGGCCGGCTTGGTGGCCTTCATTGTGGCAGGACATGTCATGATCTTGGGTTCGAATGCGTTTACGTTTGCAGAACTGACCGATCGGACAGGAGTCTCCCAGGTACCAGGATTCCCTTCAACAACGAACAGGCCGAAAACAGCGCTCACCCCCCATGCCCCAACGCACGCGTGCTCACCTCCAGGGGGCTTGGCGGGCTTCCTGGTGGAGCCGGCCCACCAACTGGACGAGGCCTCGAAGATGAAGGGCTGCGCCGCCATCCGCACGGAGCTTTGCACTGTGCTGAGCTTCCTGCGGATCCCCACCTTCTGCGTGATGATCATGCAGGCAAACGGAAAGAGAGCCGGGAAGGGTCGCTTCTCAAGTGTTACAACCCCCAGCTAGGGGTTTCTAAAGAGTGTGGCCGGATTTCGGAGTTGCACCGGCTCGCCCGTGTCGCTTTGGTTTGTTTTGTCTTTTGCACTACACTGCAGCGAACAAATTGCCAGATGCAACATACTGTACCTGTCACGATCTATGTTGTGACCAAGATCATGCTTTTAGATGCACGCCTTCTGACGCGAATAAGCGACATCTTGATCATGCCAACGTGCTGCATTTGCCACGAAACTGAGCATGCCACAGTGTGCACGGCACCAAAGCGAGAGCAAGCCCGCCAGAAGCGAAGGTCTGAGGGAACGAAATGATCTTGATGAGGCCCTGGCATGAGGCCCTGGGATGTTCCTGTGCGAATGGGACTGAGGATCGCTCGCTGGGATATGTTTGGCTTGCTATGGCGTTGCTATGGCTAGACACTTTGATGTTTGCACGCGATTGGGGGGATTGGGGGGTGAGTTCTTTTTTGTTGGAGGGGGGGTTGGTTAGTGTTCCCGTGCACAGGGCGTGGAATCAGGCAAAGCTTCCCAAGGCTTCCGCAAGGCTTAAGCCTCCGCCAAGAGAAGGCCGTTAAGCTTAAGGGGGCCTCGTTGGTTGTTTGTTTGTTTGTTTGTTTGTTTGTTTGTTTGTTTGTTTTTTTGCCCTACAAGTTGCTATACCTGTTGATAAAGACAAATAATGTACATTTGTATACAGATGTATATAATATGAAAGCGGAGCTGAGAATTAGTAACAAGGTAGAACTACGACCAAAGTGACAAACAACGGGCTGGGGAAGCCTCTTGGGGATGTGGGGAAGCCTGGGAAGCTGCACAACGCCGCATGGAAGGTCTGAGGCTGAAACGAACAAACAAAGAGCCAACGAGAACAGCCGCGTGCTTTTTTTTTGTCGTTTCCTTTTGAGGGAGTGTTCGGCACCATCCCCTGGAGCGTCATGGGCAACAACTTGCTCTTCTTCAAGTTCTGTGGTCTGCAGGACTGGGAGGCCAGCATCTTGGCCGCGGAGGGCACGGTGGCCGGGGTCTTCGGCAACATCGCGGGGGGGATGATCGCGGATGCCCTGGCCCGGCGCTTCGGGTACCACGGCAGGCCCTTGAGCGCCCAGATCACCGTGGCCATCGGCATCCCCATGGCGCCGCGCCGGAAACATCGCGCCCGATTTTTGTTGATTTGTTTCACGTGCGGGGGTCGAAGTGCCGCAAAACACGGGGGAAACAACAGGCGCCGAAGCGCGTTTTGATCGCAGAAAGGGGGGACATATTCGTCCAACCGACTTCAGCTTCACATGACGCAACTCGCACCTCAGGTCTTCCTGCAGTTTTACGGGATCCCCCCGGGGTCGGGCTCCTTCGGCGCCTACTTTGCGCTGATCGCGGGCTTCGGGCTGCTGGGGTCCTGGGCCCAGTCCGGCACCAACTTCCCCATCCTGTCGGACATCGTGCCGCCCAGCGACCGCAGCAAGGCCCTTGCGTTTTTTTGTTGGTGCTGACCACCCAGGTTGTGCTTGGCCCGTATATATTTTGGTGTTCTACAGATTGGAGATTGTAGGCAGTTGCCGGTTTACGCTAGTACTTGTACGACTACCATGGCGATGCATTGGCCCAAGTCGATTCTCTCCGTGCGTGGGTTTGGGCTTTGGCGGTAGCCCACTCAACCCTTTGGTGAGATTTTACGCGATTTTACGTCATGTAGCGCACTTTCGTCGGGAAATATGAGTACTTTGACTGCCCTCCGGGGTGAACCGTGTGCCAAGAGCGTTTGTTTCCAGGTGAATGGGTATATAGCTATTCAGCCAAGCCTTTTGAGAGAGGATGGGCAAGCCCCGTTTTGGAGTAGGACAATTCACCTGGGTCCTGGAGGGCTCCCCAAACTTGAGAGCGGTGTTGGATTTTGAGTAATGTTCCGTGTGCCTTTCTCAAGTTGAAAAGAAACTGGGCACGAGTCGGAGAAGATGCGCTAGACAAGCATCTGCTGCACGATGCAAGAACTGAGTTGCCGCAGAGGGCTTTTTGCCAGACTGTTACACACAGTCACTCGTTGGCACGAGCGGAAGCGGCGATTTGTGAACTAGCTGCGGCGCAAGAACTGAACTTGTGGTTTTAGGTCACTTTGACAACAGCCTGAGTTTGGTGCTTTAACGAGTCCGCATATTCTCCCGTCAGGTGATGGCCTGGGAGTGCGCCATGGAGAACTCCTTGGCCAACGCCATCGGCCCCGGCCTGGTGTCCACCTTGGCCGTGGCCTTCGGCTACCGCTTCGGGTCCGAGGCGCGAAAGGGCAGAGCAGCGCACGAGAGGCCAAGAGGTGAGATGCGTTCGCATGGTTGCTTGTGTGTGTCTGTGTCTGTGTTTTCTCAAATTGGTTTTAAGCTTTCACAGTTGTTGCCCAAGTCGGTGTCTAATTTTTGTTCAGCATGAATGAGTCTTGGCATCATCTTCCGCCAAGCTCGATTTCAAAGTTGTTCAACCTCAGGTTTCCGCCAAGCTTTGTTCTCCCCTTGTTCTGCTTGGTTTCAGGCTTTTTGTCCAGTTTTGTTCAGCGATTCTTGAGCTGCTCCGATCATCCTGTGTCGGCTTTGCCCCAGCTTTCTACGTGTTGCGGAGCTTGCGTCCGGTGCCTTACCTGGATTGTGAATTCGGTGTCTTGTTTGCCGGAGGAGATGGAGGGTCAGTCCCTGTCCTCGGCCCGGGCGCTGGGCTCTGCCATGGCGGCCACCATTTGCATCCCGCAGCTCGGAAGGGAAACAAAGCGAAACATCAAAACATCAAGGGTGTCACCACTTCAGTTTTGCCATGGGGTGCTTTGTTTTGTTCAGAGGCCAACGCGATCCGTCACGTCTGCCTTTGGGGATGACATCGTGGATCTCATAAGCCATCTCCCGTTCCAGTAGGGTGCAGCTAGTTCCGACTCTCACTTTCCATAGTGTTCGCCCCATTTTGCACGGAGCAGGCTTTCTGGCCCAAGTCCATGTTCCATTACCGAGTCCTTCTGGTCCGCATGGGATGCTTTTTGACCCCCCCCCCCACCCACCTCGGGAAAATAATACGCATCAAATGGTTTACATGGGGTCGAACGGGTCGAATAAAGAGGAAACGGTACTTTTCGGCTGAGGTGGCTCATCACTTTGCTGGCCTACACGTTGCTCCACTGGAGCTATCCTCGGGATATGAAGCGCCTGAAGGCCAAGCAGGCAGCCCAGGCTGAAGCTAAGGCCGCCCACGAGGACCGGGCTGGTGCGCTTCTGACGTGTGTTGGCCGAAGGGTTCCGCTTTTGACTACCTCAAGATTGACTATTTCAGAGGTTTCCTTTTTGGGAAATCAACCTCCCCTGGGTTCAAGTGTTTTTTGGGGTAGTCAAAAACGGAACCCTGGCCAAAGGCCTTCCCAAAACTCGGCTATGGCTCAAAAACATGTACCAGAATGGCACCCTTGGCAAATGGTACCAAAGAATGAATCCTGCGTAACCCTAGCTCTTTAATTTTGAGCCACACCCACTCGAGGGGGGAGACGGGTTCTTTGTATTTTTCTTCAACTGGCATAGGAATCAGTATACCGAGCTCATGTCGGGGTCTTTGGAACCTAGGAGGAGATGTGCATCTAGGGGATGGGAAGAGCCAAAGGCGTACATACAGACCGAGATGTCCGTTTGAAGTGGCGTGGCACAGCAGCACCCGGCTGTGCAAGATGCATGGCCCGTCAGACCTTTGACGCGGTATCGAATTCAATCAACTCCAGCCTGAAGCAACTTGGAGTTCCCTCGACCAGAACCGGTCGAGTCGGGCACCGGAGTTTCTTCAGGCCGTGAGCGAAGAAGCATTTTTGTAAAGATGGCAGACGTCTTGCGTCGACATGGTCGTTTTTGGAGGGCATGCCCGGCATGTCGGTTTCCAGCCCAATGATTCTGGCTTAGTGTCAGCTCCAGGTGGTTTGCAGACATGCGAATGCACCTGGAGCCCAGGGGCTGATACAGTACAGCGACCACATGGCATCGTGACGATGTGATGTGGTTCGTGAGAATGCGGCACTTGGCAGGGCCCGTAAGAGTACCTGCCAGGCATCAGCATGTATACATTTGGCTGAGAGGGCCGCAAAAAGCTGCTGCAGATACCCAGGGCAAATCGAGCTGCATGCTGCACACAAGCTGTATGCTGCTTAACCAATCTGAGCAGGTGGCCCCGCAGCTGTCAGATGTTATTGCGGAGGTGTGTATGTGTATATATATATATACATGTATAAACATGTATATATGTATACACATATGTGATATCATATATATATATATATATATGGTACCCCCCCGAGTACCCAGGTCTTGTTGCATCATGTATCAAAACCATTGATATTTACAGTGTATTTTGATTGAACTCATGCATTTTCTGCAAGGCCATTTTGTGGACCAAAAAACAAAACAACAAAAAAAACAAAAAAAATCAACAAACCAAACAACCAAAAAACCAAAAAACCAAAAAACCAATCCTAGCCCCCACCATGGCTGGGATTCTTTGGTTTTTGTTTTTTTGGGTTTTTGGTTTTTTGGTCCAGGGAAATGTTGCGCAACAAATTCCAAATGTTGCGCAACATTTGCGGAACATGAGAGGATATGTGAACCTTTGTGAAAGAAGGCATGTTCTGGGTGAGAGGATATGTGAATTTTCTGTAGAGAAGAGTTATTGAAAAAGACATGCTTTGTGTGAGATGATATGTGAGTCTTTGTGGATGAGTCAGGGTTACAGTGATTCATAAAAGTATAGCAAAATACAGTAAATATCATGTAAAACCACCATTTATGTAACACGAACTGTCCCAGCCATAGCCTGGTTTTATTCTACACAGGGTTCACTTTCCTTGGCAACTCTTTCACATATGCTGCCTTTGTTTCATTGAAAGAAGTCTTGTAAAAAGACATGTTGGGTGAGAGGATGTGTGAATTTTCTGTGGAAGAGTCTTTGAATGAAACAAGGCATGGTTTGTGTGGGAAGATATGTGAGTTATCTGTGGAAGAGCCTCTGAAAGAAGGCATGGCTTGTGTGGGCGGATATGTGAATTGAATTTTGTGTGGAAGAGCCATTGAAAAAGGGCATGGGTTTGGTGAGGGATATGTGATTCCTTGTGAAAGAAGGCATGCAAAAAGACATGTTTGGGTGAGAGGATGAAAGACTTGTCTGTAGAGAAGAGTTATTGAAAAGACATGCTTTGTGTGAGATGATGTGTGAATATTCTGTGGAAGAGTCTTTGAAAGAAGGCATGGTTTGTGTGGGAGGATATGTGGGTTTTCTGTGGAAGAGCCTTTGAAAGAAGGCATGGTTTGTGTGGGAAGCTATGTGAATTGAATTTTGTGTGGAAGAGCCATTGAAAAGGGCATGGGTCACGTCCAAGGCGTCTTTCTTCAATGAGGCAAACCTCCTTCCTCTAATCTCCCAGTGTGCAAATCTGAGCTATACATATGTTCCAGTCCCCCCCCCCCAGGTAGCCTCCCCCTGCTCGGGATGCTGGGGATGCTATCCAGTAGTCCCCAGAGCCCCCCTCTTCACCCCCGAATCCGCACCCCAACATTGCCACGAAGCCAACCCCAAACCAACATCCTACCTTAAACCAACCCTAAACGGACACATCATGCATCCTAAACCAACCCTGAACCAACCCACCCTACAACCCGAACCCTTGACCCTAACCCTCACCCTGGATCTCCCTGAGCCAACCCGAACCCTTGACCCCAACCCTCACCCTACATCTCCCCGGAACCATCCTTCAGACTGGGCATTTGATCTGCGAAGCACGGCAGTACGTCTGGGGCGGCATGCAGCCTGCCGCCCTCGCTCATTTTTTTGGCGCGCGGATCTCTCCGGCTCTTGGCGACTGTCTCGCCGGGAGGCTGAAGTCAAGCGTGAGCACTGCCGCAGCATTGCTGAGTTTGCGTGTCGGAAGTCCAGTTGCCCGAGCCTGCGCTGGCTGCTTGCCACCAGGTCTTGTAAGTAGTCGCTTGACGGAGCCTGCGTGGGTTGCTAAACTGACCCTGCACCAACCCCAAACCACACCTTCATCACCCAACACGCCCCCCCCGTGGGGGTGGGTTGGGGGGGTGTTTCTTGTTTTGCTTCTTGTTGAACCAAGACTCCACTCATAGGCAACATGTACTATATGTGGAACCGAAGCTGCCATTTGGTTCATCACCATAGGGAGCCTTAACTGCGCTCCTCTAAAGGGAGGGGGCCAGACTGTTGGACCTGCCTTGGATGGGCGCGCGCCCTGGATTGCCTCTTGGGAGCGCCTTGGCTTGCTCCTTGGGGGAACAGGGGCGGAGCCGGGGGGAGTCGAGCAAAATGAGATTTTAAACTGCGCCCTCTATTGGCTGTGCCCTCTAAAGGGAGCCTTGACTGTGCTCTTGCGTGCGCCTTGGCTTGCTCCTTGGGTTGGGAACAGGGGGGAGTCGAGCCTGGCGCCTTTTTTTGGGAACGTCGTTGCTTTGTAGGAAGCCTTGGAGGTGCTCTGTAAAGGGAACCTTGACTGCGCCCCGAGCCTTGAGCGCGCCCTTTAAAGGAAGCCTTGACTGTGCCCTCTATAGGGGGCCTTAACTGTGCCCTCTGAAGGGAGGGGGCCTTAACTGGGCGGGCAAGGCCCAGACTGCGCCTTGGACGTGCGTCTTGGGTTGCCTCTTGGACGCGCCTTGGATTGGGATGCGCCTTGGATTGCCTCTTGGATGCACCTTGGCTTGCTCCTTGGATTGCTTCGGGGGAACAGAAGCGGGCCCGGGGGTAGTTGAGCCTGGCGCCTTTTTTGGGAACGTCGTCTTGTTTAAGGGAAAAGAAGATGCTTAACTGCGCCCTCTCTTGGCTGCGCCCTCTCAAGGGAGCCCTAACTGCGCCCCTATAAGGACCCTTGACTGCGCCCTGTTTTAATTAAGTCGCCTTGGATTGCCTCTTGAACGCGGCTTGGATTGGGACGCGCCTTGGATTGCCTCTTGGGCGCGCCTTGGATTGGGGCGCGCCTTGGATTGCTTCTTGGACGCGCCTTGGCTTGCTGCTTGGACTGCTTTGGAGCCAGGAAGGGAAACAGGGGCGGACGTCGTTTTGCTCGACGGAAAAGAAGTTTCTTAACTGCGCCCTCCACGGGGAGCCTTGACTGCGCCCTGTGTAAAGAACATTGATTTGATTGCGCCTTCTAATTACAAGGAGGCCTAGCGTTGACCCTTATAAGGGGCCTTGGCGGCCTTTCCGCTCTTGACTCCGCCCGCCATATTGTACAGGCCTGGTGTGATATTGACACTACCTTGCGGTAAACAAGTCTTGAGTTTACACAGTGATATCATTTATACCAACTACTTGGCCTCTATATTTAACTTCACCGGAAGAGGTTCAGGGACACCACGAGGTATTATACCTTACACGGGCCACGACTGGGGCCCGGCAATCCAACCTCAATTGTGGTAGCGGAGCAGGTTTTCCGGAAGAATGTCAAGCGAAGAAGACTTCTCTATGATAGATCCCGCATTGGCCTTCGCAGGCCGACATGGCGGAGATATGTCCACCAATGAGGAGAACATCAATCTTTCGATGAATACAAAATTACCCCCATCGTTTGACGGCCGTGTTAGTTGGTTTCGGTGTGGGGCTGGGTCACATTCACACAAGTCGAACCTCATCGGCAAGGACTTGAAGAATCGACGTACTCATGATGCCCTTATTTACAGAGAGCTCCTGGACAACAAACAACCAGTTGATCCTGACAAAGGAGTTGAATACTTTCTCACAACTTTGAGAAACACTTCCTCAAGGGCTCGCAGAATGTGTTCCTGTATAGATTCCTCAGTTTCTTCAATCATCGCCGGCCTACTGGTGAGTTTGTGACTTTCATTAGCAAATTCGAGTTTCTCTTGCGAAGATGTAGAGCATCTTGGGAAGAGACAGCACCAGATTACACACAAACCAGCCCTGAATATTTTCAGGCGATTCAAGGTGCAAACCAGCGACGACGTGATCAATACACTGAACAAGTCGCTCAAGCCCAACAGATGATGGCAGGACAGGCGCGAGGAGCGGCTGCACCTATCATCCCAGATCCAGTAATTCTGGATCCAACAGATCCTGCAGTATTCAATCAGTTTGCTACAGGACGACGAACGCAACATTCACAGGCTTTTCCGCTGTGAGACAACCATATTATTTGGTTTTTTATAATCCAGAGCGAGTTGGCAGAAGGCCAGTTGGTCCCGAATCCCATATATTCGTTTCTCTCTCAAACAACCGAAGATTTCCGAAGAGACGCAAACCAAGTGCAGAAAGACCAGACCAACCTGCTCACAATCACCTCAGAGACCAGTGCATCCCTCAGATTCCTAATCGAAGCAGCCCTCAATTACAAAACTGACAAAACTGAGAGGAATTGAGATCCATTCTACGGCGTGTTGGACTGCATTATCACTCATGTATTCCATTGGTCCAAGACCAAGGAGATGACAAGGGCGAAGGAGAAGATTCTGCAATCCCGTCGACACTGACAACCAAGAAATCCCACAGGACTTCGAGCGTCGCGACTATACTGTCACATCCGCCGAGAGGTACAAGCTGCTGACCAACAAGATGCTTATGTTGGGGGAGAATAACA